CCCCACCACCGCCACCCCCGCTGTCACCACCGCCGCCCTTGCCCCCTTTGCCCTTACCGCTGCGGCGCCCGCTCGAAGCAGACGCAGTCCCGACCTTCTCAGCACCAAGGAGGTCGACATCAGCAGCAGAGGCGACAGAGGGAAGAAGGGGGGAGGGAGAACACCCCTCAAAGAACGGGGTACGGGGGTCACCACGAGAGGCACCTACAGCGACTATGCTAGCCTCAGCTGCAAGGAGTTCCTTCTCGAGGAGGGCAATGGTGAGCTCAGTGGGGCAGCGAGCTAGGAAGTGGTCCCTGACTGAGCGCAGAGTGTCAGGGAGGCGCGTGACTAGGTGGTAGAGAGTGAGCCAGAGCGGGGGTGGGTTCGTGGCAAGGAACTCATCAGGCATAGCGGCGCGAAAGCGAGCCTCACTAGTGCGGAGGTGCGTAATGAGGTCAGCGACTGTGTGGAAAGAAGCTAAGTCGGGGAACAGGTAGGGAAGAGAGAGACGGAATAGTGCGGCAGAGGCCGGTGAGGAGTAGCGGGCAACGACAGCAGTGTACAGTGCCTGCGCAGTCTTGTGCTGCCCAAAGTGCTCGCGCTCATCTATCGGCAGAGAGTTGTGAATAGCGAAGCGAGCATGGGCGTCACGAGTCTGCCACTGTGAGCGGGCACTGCTGTCAGCAGTAGCAGCAGGAGCAGTAGCGTGGCCTAGGGCGTGATCGTACAGTGAGATGTCTTCCTTGGCAGTGAGCTGTAGGAAGAGGTGTAGGTCATCAAGCCAGGTGTCAAACTTCACTGGGCGGCCCTCAGCATCGAAGGCTAGCACAGGAGGGCTAGCCATGGTAGCAGCAGTGGGAAAAGCAGTAGGAGTACCCAAAGGGTAGGTAGGGCGGCGCGGCTCGGTAAAGGCGGCACGGCTCGGTACAGGTAGGGGGGCGCGGCTCGGTACAGGTAGGGCGGCGCGGCTCGGTGAGGGCGGTGCGGTTAGGTTCGGGCGGCGCGGCTCGGTTAGGGCTGGGCGGCTCGGGTCGGGCGGCTCGGTTCGGACTGGGCGGCTCGGTTCGGGCTGCTCGGTTCGGGCGGCTCGTTCTGGGTGGGGCCGTTCGGGGCCTATAGAGGCGAGCGCGGGGAGCGGGTGGGGCCGATCGGGGCCGTTAGGGACGAGCGCGGGGCCGACGTGGGCCTCTAAGGGCGAGCGCGGGGCCGATCGGGGTCGTTAGGGACGAGCGCGGGGCCGAACGGGGCCGTTAGGGACGAGCGCGGGGCCGTAAGGGGGGCCGCTAAGGGCAAGAGCAGGGCCTCTTGGGGCCTTAGGGACGAGCGCGGGGCCGATTCGGGGCCTCTAAGGGCGAGCGCGGGGCCGTTCGAGGCCTCTAAGGGCGAGCGCGGGGCCGTTGTGGGCCTCTAGGGGCAAACGCGGGGTCGTTCGGGGCCTCTAAGGGCGAGCGCGGGGCCGATCGGGGCCTCTAGGGGTAAGCGCGGGGCCGTTAGGGGCCACTAAGGGCGAGCGCGGGGCCGATCGAGGCCTCTAGGGACGAGAGCGCGGGGCCGACGGGGCCTCTAGGAGCGTGAAAGCCGAGGCGCCCTAGGGCGTAGGTAGGTAGGTAGGTAGGTAGGTAGTGGTGGGCCCTAAAAATCGGTCCTAGGAAGGACCTGCTCTATACCAAGTTGAACAAGAATGAATGAACTAACAGTGAAATGAGTACAAGTAGGAAACCCTAGAATTGTGTACCCCCTATAGGCTAACCCACTGTAGCCTAGACAACTACAACATATATATAATGTTTGACAATGATATGGCGAGTTCTTCTGTAGTCATGCCTGCTGGTTGTGTCTCAGCGCTTTCTGCTTCCTGAATTGCCGCTTGCTCCTTTTCCACCTGCTCCGTTCGACTTGCGGTTGGTGTGTGACAGGTGGTGCACAGTCCGTGGGCGTCAGGTTCGTGAAGATTGATTTCACGCGGGTGAGGGCTTCGGCGAACTCACGGTCTTCCATCCGGATGCTCCCAAGACTCCTTGTTCATGAAGGCGAATTCGAGGGGGACAAGATCCACGAGCTCGTCCGACGAGGCTTGACAGGGAGGTATGTCGAAGTCTAGGATATAGATCCCATTGATGGAACGAGCTCGTCCGAGGTACTTGAATGCCTCAGGAGGAGTGTCCGGGGGAGCGTAGGTGAGGATGAGATCGCGCGTCGCGAGGTCCGTGTGGATGATGATGCCGCAATCGCGGAGCTGTCCAGCGGAGAGTAAGTTGAAGCGCAGGTTCGGGACGTAGAGTACGTCGTTGAACGAGATGTGCGTGTTGCTATCTCGTGCTTGCAGGACGACGAGTCCTTGTGAGTTTGCGCGCAGTTGCTCGTTGTTGGCGACGGTGACATAAGTTGCAGGGGCGCGACTTAGGTTAGAGACATAGCGTGTGGACCCCACCATGTGCTGACCGCAGCAGCTGTCAAGGTACCAGGTGTTGTAGTTGTCAGTGTTGTTGTGGCACAGCAGCAGCGCCAATCGTGGAGTTACCAGGGTGGTCTTGAAGCGCCTGTGGAAGTGAGGATCTTCGTCCTCCTTCCAGCCCACTGGTACGTAGTGCTGATTTTCGTGAGGCGGGCTTTCCCGCAGTGTGATTGGAAGGTTCCAGTCCTGCTCGTCTTCGTCGTACAGGTAGTAGTGATCCTCGGTGAAGGGATTATTCCATCCCTCTTCTGGTTCCAGTAGTCTTCCTTGGACTTCGTTCTCCTCGTCAGGTTCAGTGGTGCGCCGGCGTCGTGTTGTCATATTTGCGATGACGTTCCTGGGAGCTCCTGACTGTGGTCCTTGATTTTGCTGGTGTTGCGCAGGAGGACGAGCTTGCTGATGCTGAGGTTGAGGATGACGAGCGTCTTGTCGGCCGACCCAGTTGTTGCGGTGAGTGGAATTCGGGTGGCGGTAGTTGGATCGGGATTTGCATCGATCCGTTGAGTGTCCGAAGACTTTACATATTTTGCAGTAATGGCGCCTTGGTTGTCGTCGCTCTTCTCGGTTGTCCGTGTAGAAGGCGAGGCGCTCTCGGCGCGGCGCGGAGCTTGTTCTGCTCGAGTCCATATCCTGCTGTTCGGACAGGAGTGCGGCGCATAGCGCGGCTTATGAAATTGTTCCTCGCTGTCGGAGTAACGCCTTGCAGGGCTTCCACTCAGGCCCGAGTCCTTGAAGGACTATATTGACGAAAATCTCTTCTGGGATCGTACTCCCATGCTTCGTGATCTGGTCACGGATGTTGCGACAGCGGTTAATTTATGGATTTACCTTCTCTCCGTGCCCCATCTTTATCTCTAGGAGTTGCTGGAGAAGCCTGCTGGAGGTGACCGAATCCTTCGGCTGGTAAACTTCAACGAGGTGCTTCCAGGCTTCCATTGCTGGAGCGTCGCTCTCTTTGTAGGAGCGTATGTTGAGTTGTTCCGCAGGCGTCATGTTGCGTAGTAGTACGCTGTAGGCCATGAGGGACTCACTGTAGTACTGAGCCCTGGCGACGTCGGTGTTTTCCACCGGTTTAGGGTAAGAGCCGTCGAAGTAATGGTAGATCTGCGCCGTTTGTAGGAGGAGCTCCAGCTCGAAACTCCATGTGTAAAAATCCTTGCCGTCGAACGCTGCAGTAGTCATAATTTTTGAAACGCTGAGGAAGCGTGTTTGCGCAGAGTTGATAGCTTCATCACTTGGACGGGGGGCAGTTGTTGCTGATTTGTTTGTGTCGAGGGAGAAGGTGTGCGCGGCGGTATCACGGCTTTTCTCACCCGGTTTTCCACGTTGTGCTGGTTGGGAAGAGATTCCCGCATCGCCTTTGCGCAGTTCTTGGAGTTCTTTCTCCATAGTTGAAAGTCGAGTGAAAAGTTGCTCGAGGGCGGCAGTGCCGATCGTGGTTGTCGCCTCACTTGTCGCAGCTGGATTGGGTTGTCCTTCAGCTGTCAGATTTGCTTGGCCTCCGGATCCTCCGGCCATCTTGGTCTTGGAGCGTGTGCCGCTCGCCAGGTCTTGATTCGGCGAGTTTCACGGAAATGAGGTTGCGAAGAATCCCTGAGTAGCTCTCATACCATGTTACAATCCCAAGTGGGATTTACCAAAGGATCGCTCAGGGTTGATCGCAGAGTAGTGTTGCAGCGGAAGTTTAAATCTCAGGTCAGAGTGAATGTAAATGACTGAGTTGATAATAGCATGCATACATCGGGTTTATATAAGAGTACAAGGGAATACGAAAGGACCTAGACTAGCCATGTAATCTAAGGGGTACATTCCCTTATTGTAACTGAATTCAAAAACCGTGCGGCGCAGGAACCCGTTCAAAACCTGTTCCCGCTCTTTTCACTTTAAGTGTTTCTGCCTGCATCGGTCTTGGTCTGACGGTTGCTGCGTCGCTTCGGCTCTTCAAAACTCGTCAAACTTCGTACTCGGTAGAGTCGGCTCCTGCAGCATACAGGAATGCCTTCTCATAAAACTTCACATCGTAACAACCTCCAGCAGATGTTTAACATCCGAGGGTTAACTCACCAATGCTTCGATACCACGTTTCGCTTCCCTTCTGTCTTGGTGTTTCGACACGACAGAGGCGCTATATCATTTGTTTCCAACAATGAGCCCACTCACCTGCTACACAAACCCTTTTGTCCCAGTGGCTGGTGGCTGAGATTCTGACATTCAGTGCGGTGCGATACGAATCTGACACCAGAGGTTGGCCTGATAACATAGGAACAAGCCCTAAGAGGCTTCTTTTCTTACTAACTTGTCATAATCCTCACCAACTGTACTGCATGACTGCTGCCTACACCCAGTCCCGATTCCCTGGCACTGACGAGTCATGCACTGCTCTCCGGACTTTAGGCACCATTGCAGGACTGCAGGACTCCAAATCAAGACCCCCCTCACTCTATCAAAGTCACACCCATCCCCTCCCCCTCCAAACCCCTTACTTAGCTATTTTCCAGAAAGTCCCTGCACTAGACTTCTAAACTAGTTCCTAACGAACGCATATGTATCCAAGGAGTTCATCCTACAGTAATTTCTCCAGCTGAGTAAGCGCAGCTTTGCGCAGATCCAGCCACTCCTGCCCCATGTTCCCCCTCCGTTTGTCAAAGTCCTTCCAGCTGTCTAATTCCTCCGTCTCCAACGGGGACCGCCCATCAAAGTTCACAATCCGAGGGTGCGGGTAGTACTGATGCAACCTCTGCCGTAACCACAAATTTAGCCCGTATTCATAAGGCATGCGGTGCAGAGTGTTCTCCCTGTACCAGGTCCCATAATACGCGTTTAGAAACAGGTCCAGATACACCGTCTGCTGCGGGCGCAAGGGGGCCAACTCAATCGCCGAAACCATGTGGCGGAAAGTTGCGGAGTGCGGTTGAATCAGCATCACTCTGGTAGAGAACATGTCTGGCGGGAAGCGAAGCGGCGGGGCAGCGAATGGGCGAAACTCGCCGAACATGTGGTTACAGTTATCCTTGAAGAGCGAAAGCGGGTCGACATAAACAACCCTCCGAAAATCCGTCTGGTTCCAAAGATGCAAAACGACAAACTCCTCCGCAAGCTCCCTCCTCCCTCTGCCTTCCCATACCGAAATCGGCTCCACCACGCGAACATGCGTGAACAACCGGCGAAGATTCGCAAGTGCTGGTTCGGGAACAGAGGAGAGCGCGAGGACAAGCGTGTCGTGCCGCGTAAGCAGGAGTAACTCTTCCGTCTGCTCCTCCGCCAGACTGCTGCTGTTGCCGCTGTCTCGTCCTCTGTTCCTGTTCTGCCGGCGCTGTCCCTGCAGCTGCTGCTCCACCTGAGCAGGATCGTGGTACTTGTCGTACGACATCGCCCACACGTATGCGTGCTCCACGCTCGCAGGACCCACCACCGTCGCAAACACCATCTTCCTCGCGCTCCTCGCAGCAACCACAGCAGCAACATCAGCGGTAGCAGCAGCATCCATCTCCTCATCATCCTCCACCCCCACATCAATTTCTGCTGCCAAGGTAGGTCGTCTCCACATAGACGCTCGCTGAACTTCCACAACCGCTTGCACCTTCTCCCCCTTCTCCCCCTCCTTCCCCGCCTTTTTCTCCATCTGCTGCCCCTCCTCCTCCCCCACCCCCTTCTCCCACCCTCCCTCTGCCAAATTACCCACCGCTCCCACTTCCCCTCTCCTCGCTTCCCTCTCCGCTTTCCCCCCGACCCGTCCCCTTTGCGCGTTCTGCATCTGCGCCTCCTCCCCCAGCAGCCCCCTCGAGCGCCCCGCCACGCGCACCCACTCGTAGTCCTCCTTATTGGGCAACCCGTTAACCAGCAACGCCTCCACTTTCGCCCTTTCCAGCGGACGCCAGCAATTCGCGAACAACGCCTGCGACAACTCGAACCACATCGCCAACCACCTGGTAACCGGCTGCCGCCCCTTCTCCCAACAGCGGTGCGTGCACGCATTCGGCCCCGACACGGGTTTAATCTTCCCGAACCCTGCCGGCTTCCCCCACGGGCCGCCATAGTGGAGAATCATGACGGGTCCAAGAATCTCGTGTGCGTTTTCCGGGTCGTACCATGGGGGAGGGGGGTACTGGTCGGGGTACGTCAGCATGGCGTTATAACGGTAGTCGAGGCGGTGCGACGTGGTCTGGTTGGGGTAGTTCGTGAAGAAGGCGTTTAAGAAGCCCTGGTCGCCGCGATCCACGGAGCCGATCACGTCGATGCTGCGCAGGAGCGCGTCGTATGTGGCCTGGGGGAAGAGAGGGGCGAGAGGGGAGGAGAGGAGGAGGGAAGGGAAGGGAGAAAGAGAGGGAAAGGGAGGCGCGTGGAGAGAGGGAAGAGGAAGGAGGAACACGAGCATTGTTAATGAGGAGGAAAACGGCCGAGTCGGCGGATCGTGTGAAGGACTGGTGAGGAGAAGATCCTCTGCAGGATTACCACGCGTTACGCTGCATGGAACCACACAAGCAACGGCAACTGCAACCGAAGAACCGAAACAGCACATCACATCAGTTGATTCACCGTAGATGGCTCACCAGCGACGGCTTGACGACCATGATACCCGCGTTGAATTGGTTGACCAAGAAGAACCCAGGCGCTCCGGTGATCTCGGGCCGCTCGAACAAGTGGTCCACATTCGCGAGCGGCAGGGTATCCACGTCCAAGTACACGACTTTCGCGAACTCCACCATTCGCCAAACGTGAAACTTCGTGAAAAATATCGCCTTGAACGGGTTCGGGATCCACTCCACTCGTATAACCGCATCGAAAAAGTCGTGTAGCTGAGGAGGCACTGAAGACATTTCTCCTCCGTCGGCAATCATCAGCACGATGTGGTGCGGCGTGCGAGTCGCACGCAACGCCTGCGCGAAAACGATCGCGGATGCGACGAGATTCTTCCCCGTGATCAACGTCACGTAGGCGAAAGACGGCCCTCCCGCCAACGCCGCCGTTCCGGCGGAAGAAGCAACACCAGCACTTGCGGAACGTTTTCCTCGATCGTTCTCACGCCCGCCGGACGACCACGGCCATAGCCACGCCTGCTGCCGAGCTGCTAAGCGCTTCTTCTCCTCCAGGTGCTCGCACAGCCTGCCGCCGTTGGCCGTTTTCGAGCCCACTTGTAGCGCGGACAGGGCAAGGCGATTCGCGGAAAAGGAAACGGCGGATTTTTCTCCCCTCTGTGCGGAGCATTGCGAGAGGTCGAGCGCGTCGGAGTCGTAGGCGGAGAGCATGGGCGGAACGCGGCAATGCTGGGCATGGGGGGAACGGGGAGCGGGAAAGACGGGAAGCGGGGAGGGGAAGGGGGGTGAGGTGAGGGTGTGGTGAGGGAGGGGTAGGTGGAACGAGTGGTAAGTCAAGGAATTGAATGGGAAGCCTCGGTGGGTGGAGGGGAGGGCGGGGGGGGGGGGGGGGGGGGGGGGTGGGGGGGGGGTGAGGGGGGGTGATGACTGGAGCAAAAGTAAGGAGGGGAGGAGGAGGGGGATAAAGAAGAAACGGAGTGTACAGAAGCCCGCTGTTGTAAGTGCACTTTTATTAGGTTGCACTAAGAATTCCAGTCCCACACGGACGATATGACTCCACTGGCCTCGCTGCTCACCTCGCCCAGCATCGTCGCGAGCTGTTCACTCGAGTTGACATCAGACGACCAGATTAGGGCTACGTCCACGGTCAGCGGCAGCAGCAGCAGCAGCGGCAGCGCCATCACCGCTGCCACCGTCGCGAGCCGGCTTCTGTGCCAGCCTTGCCATCCCACGCCGAGAACCACGCGAGATGTGAGAGTCTTTGCCATGGGAGTCCCAGAGTAAGTGAAGAACCAAAGAGTTAGTAGGCAGAGTAGTATCTAAAGATTTCTGAGCACACGCGTTTTCACGCCTGCCTTCCACCAAGCCTGCCCGAAGGCTTTCCGATATGGGCCTTGGCTTATAGCTATGGCTGTAAATCTGGTTGCAACACGATGCAATCCCTTGTTGAGGGATTCTTCTGTACGATTCGCGCTCGTTTGAGTGAAGAAAGCCCACTATCGGAGACATGTGGGAAGCACATGAAGTGCCTGCATAGTGTGAAGAAAAGGGGAGCCAAGGATTTCAGGGTGGTATACTCGCCGTCCAGTCCAACGAAAGCAGCCTGTTTACAGGCTAGTACAACTCCCTTACGCTCAACTTCGTTTCGTCACGGTGCAAAACGGTAAACCTTGAGAACCGCTTCCCACCGTGTGCAAACGTCCTGAGCCACGATACAAGAGCTGTAAATTCGCGACAAATGTGCGAGAATTGCGCAACCTGACGTCGTAAACGAGCTAGCATTCTTCCCTGAGGAAATGACAGATCGCCGTGTTTTTTAATTTCCAATTCCAATTGGCAGTGGTTTTGACAGCGCATTGCTCTGCGCTCGCGTCCAATACCTTGGGGCACATTCTTTTTCAGTTTCCCCATTTAAGTCCAACAATACAAGTTATTTTTAGTTTACGGGGTATGAAAAATGTATTCGTCGAGTCCATAGCAAACGCTCAGCTCGGGACAAAAAAAAAATAACCCTCATGGATGGTATGCCACGAAGAGAGCATCAACCCTAAACACCATGGGGCAAGGTGTTTAGGGTTGATGCCTCCCAAATGGCTTGTCATCCGAGGGGGTTTTAGTTTTCCACTGGCCTCTATACTGAACCCAGGTAAACTTAATATTTGCCCCTCTATACTTTTGGTCATGAAAAACGGAAAACAGCAATATAAACTGACCGCAGGAATTGGGCGCGAGCGCGGTGGGAGTAGCTGTCAAAGCCACTGCCGAAAGGAATCGAAAACGCGCAAACACGGCGGTTCGTCATTTCCTCATTCTTCCCTTGTACGAACGTAACGCGCTCCGAGCGGCGCACTGCTGGCTTTTTGGCAGAACTGCTTCGCGCACTGCTTCGCGTTCTGCCAAAAAGCCATATGGCGGGACCACTGCTGGCTTTTTGAGCAAGCACGCGAAGGGGGTGGTACAATTGCAGGCAGCGGTCCCGCCATGTGTCGTTCTGGCTGAGGGGATGGGATGGGAAGTGATACAGATAGCTTCCTCCTCGCCTCTCCTCGCCTTCCATAATCTTTATTCGCCCTGCCCCACCACACTCGGCCAGGTCACCCACCAGTGCTTGGCTGGCAACTAGCATCCTTCCCGCAGCTCGGCTGGAATCGAAATTGCGCTTCGGACAGAATTTAACCGCTTCGCCTACATCTCGCAGGCCCCTGTGATTCGTCGATGCCCTGCTTAGTCGTTCATCTGTTTGGTTTGGTCTGGTTCGGAAGTGTCAGACTTGGCTTGGTCAAGGCACAGATACTGCCATTACAGTACAAAGCAGTCTATAGCGTGAAATGTCAGTAAATTGAAGACATGTACTTCAGCACTAACCTTATTGCTTTTTATCAATGTTCAGTTCTCTACCTTGATAATACACATTATAGAAAAAACAAGAGCAAAATAAAACCAAACAATTTAGGCATTCAAATGATCAAGTCGATTTTTTATTCAAGATGTTAGCGGAAAATGAATATTTGGAATCTTGTCAAATACTGTCACGAGTGCAAGTGAGTGAACGAACGAGAATTGCACTATCGAAGCAAGAGTCCAATGAGCGAAGGTGGTGGGCGGATTGTCGATGCGAGGATTGCGAGTGGTAACGGTGCTGACTGTGGTGCTACAATGATGTATGCGTTGAGCAGGGACGCGAAGTAAGGAAAAGGAGATTTTCCTTACACTACCCCCCCCTCCCCCCCTTAAGAAGGTCCTCCTTACGAAAGTGCGTGTACATCCCTGAAATTCCGGCTGCGCAGATACTCGGTGAGGACGGGGTGGTGTTCGATTCTGTCCAGTGGAACCCAATTGTCTTCGCTGGGTGTACGGTCCTTTCAGCGGAATAAGAACTCGATCCGTCGGGCTCCTCGAAGGTTACGAACTCAGTGGCTCAGATTTTTTTCGGGGGTGATGATTGGTTCAGTCGGCGGTCGTGTCATGCTGGCTGGGCGATTGCGTGGGAGTTGGCTTGTGGACGGGACGTAGGGGCGAAGCAGGCTGACGTGGAACAAGGGGCCGACGTACCAGTCAGCAGGGAGGAGGAGGTGAGCGGTGACGGGTGTTATCATGTGGCTTATGCGAAATGGCCCGCAGTATCGGGGGCAGAGTTTCGGGGTGATGGGCAGTCGGAGATTTTGGGTGTCGAATAAAACTAAGTCGTCGGGCTGGTAAGTGACAGGTCTGCGGTGGCGGTCGGCGTTGCGTTTAGGGATGATGTTAGCTTTTTTAATTGCGTCTGCTGCCCTGGTCCGTGCTGCTTGCAAAATTTCGGCGAACTGTTGCGCGCGTGGAACCGGGTTGTCGGGAGTCGGGGTCATGGGTACTGTTGGGTCTTGTCCGTGATTCAGGTAAAACGGTGACTGTTGGGTCGTGGCGGATGGGGCGTTGTTGTATGCGAATTCGATGAGTGGCAGTTGTTGTTCCCACGTGTTTGGGTCGTCGCACGTAGCCCGGATGAGCTGTTCCATGGTCTGATTTGTCCGTTCTGTCTGTCCGTCTGTTTCGGGATGGTACGATGAACTAAACTGTAGTCGTGTGCCGAACTGCTGCCACAGGTTTCGCCAGAAGTTACTGGTGAATTTCGTGTCTCTGTCGCTGATGATTGATGTGTCAGATTATCATAGCTGATGCATGTTTGTAGGCTATAGTGGGGTAGCACATATGGGGTACAGCTTTCTAGGGTTGTATTTGTACCCAACTCTGACTTAGTCATTTTCATTCCTGTTCACTTGTTTCACATGGTATAGAGCGGGTCCTTCCTTAGGACCGTTTTTTTTAGGGCCCACCGAAGCGCGCCCCGAGGCGCGCCTTTTTTTTAGCGACCCCTCGGGTCGCCATTTCCCTCGCGGCCCCGCTGTCCCTCAGACGCGGCCCCGCCACCCCTCCTGATCGCGGCCCCGTCGCCTGCTTGACGCGGCCCCGCCGCCTCCACTGACGCGGCCCCGCCGCCGGCTCTAACGCGGCCCTGCCGCCCGCTTTGTCGCGGCCCCGCCGCCTGCTTGACGCGGCCCCGCCGCCTCCACTGACGCGGCCCCGCCGCCGGCTCTGACGCGGCCCTGCCGGCCCGCCGCCTCACCTGACGGCCCCGCCGCTGCACCAGCCGGCCCGCCGCTGCACCTGCCGGCCCGCCGCTGCACCCAGCGGCCCGCCGCTTCACCTGACGGCCCCGCCGCTGCGCCTGCCGGCCCGCCGCTGCACCTTACGGCCCGCCGCTGCACCCTACGGCCCGCCGCCTCACCTGGTCGGCCCCCCCCTGCACCCTACGGCCCCGCCGCTGCACCTGCCGGCCCGCCGCTGCACCCTACGGCCCGCCGCCTCACCTGGTCGGCCCGCCACTGCACCCTACGGCCCCGCCGCTGCACCTGCCGGCCCGCCGCTGCACCGGTCGACCCGCCGCTGCACCTGACGGCCCCGCCCCTGCATCTCCCGGCCGAGCCGCCCCAGCACCCGAACCGCCCGGGAGCCGAGCCGCCCGGGACCCGAGCCACCCTGCCGCCGAGCCGCCCGGGAGCCGAGCCGCCCTGCACCCGAGCCGCCCTGCCGCCGAGCCGCCCGGGAGCCGAGCCGCCCTGCGCCCAAGCCGCCCAGCCGCCGAGCCGCCCGGGAGCCGAGCCGCTGTGCACCCGAGCCACCCGGTCGCTGAGCCGCCTTTCTGCAGAGCTGCACGACCTGCCCTGCCTGGTGAGCACAGTCCCACTGACACTGCGAGCTCTTTCCCTACTGCTTGCACTGCGTCGCTGTCGTCGCCATGGCTACCCCTAGTGTCCTAGCTTTTGACGCTGAGGGTCGCGCCATTGATTTTGAGGTCTGGTTAGACGACCTGCAGCTGTTCTTACAGTGCGACAGGGCTGACGACCTTTCTCTCTTTGACCTCACCTCTGGCGCCTCTCCTGCTCCTGCTGCTGATGCTGATCCCACTGTCCGCTCTCAGTGGGCCACCCGCGATGCTGCTGCACGTCTTGCTGTGCGTCGCCACCTCCCTACCTCTGAGCGTGCGCACTTTAGTCCGTACAAGAGTGCTCAGACCTTGTACGACGCTGTAGTTGCGCGCTACTCCTCCCCTGCCACTGCTGCACTGAGCCGTCTCATGCTTCCCTACCTCTTTCCTGACCTCTCTGCCTTTCCCACTGTTGCTGACCTCATTACGCACCTCCGCACTAGTGACACTCGCTACCGCGCCGCCCTTCCTGCTGAGTTCTGCGCTAAGAACCCACCCCCCATGTACATCGCTCTCTACTACGTAGTCGCGCGCCTCCCTGACTCCCTTCGCGTCGTCAGGGACCACTTTCTCGCAGTCTGTCCCACCACCCTCACCGTCGACCTCCTCGAGAAGGCCCTCCTTGCAGCGGAGAAGAGCATAGTCGCTGTAGGTGCTTCTCGTGGTGACCCTCGCACCCCCATCTTTGAGGGGTGCTCTCCTTCCCCCTTGCTGCCCTCTGTTGCCTCTGCTGCTGCTGCCGACCTGCTTGGTCTTGAGTCGGTCGGCGCGGCGTCTACCCCTAGTGGGAGACGTCGCTCCGGCAAGGGCAAAGGGGGCAAGGGCGCGGGTGGAGCTGGAGGG